TTTTTTTCTTTTGCTTATGTGGTGCTGAGGAATCGAACCCAGAGACTCAGGCTTACAAGGCAAGCGCTCTACCACTGAGCCACCTTCCCAGCCCTGACCACTGGCTTTAAACCACGATTATCAGATCTGTTTCCTGAGTAGTTAGGATTACAGGTGTGAGCCTCTGCCTGGTTTGTTATATTATTTGTTATCCTAGCTTTTTTGCTCAAGGCCAGTGTTCTACCACTTGAAGCACAGCTCCACTTCCAACGTTTTGGTGGTTAATTGAAAGGAAGAGTCTCATGGAGTCCATCCAGGTCTGAGTTCAAACTGTAGTATCATTAAAACACACATGTCTCAGAAAACTAGCCTCCATTTCCTTACAAATTCCTGAAAGTGAAGTTGCTAGTATACTAGTCATGACACATACTGCCAAATTGCTTTTAGTGTGTCATTAGTAGGGCTTGAATTCAGGGCTTGGACACTGTACCTTAGCTTTTTAGCTCAAGGCTGGTACTCTACCTCTTGATCTACATCTCCACCTCTGGCATTTTGTTGGTTGACAGGAGATAAGACTCTCCTGGGCTTTCCCACCCAGGCTGAATATCTTCTGAATAGCTAGGACTGCAGGTGTTACCTGCCAGTACCTGACTCAAATTGCATTTTTTAGTGAAGGTAAAATTTTATTTTACACTCCAATCAAAAGTGGTTTTTTTGCCCATAATCTCAGCAACTATCCTAGGCCAAAATAATCATATTGCTGCTTTCATTTGCATTTCTTTAATGAAGCTAGGTCTTTTTATATCACTGGTGATTCCTATGATTATTTTTTGATAGGAATTGATTAGTGCTGGGGATTGAATATAGGGACTTACACATGCTAGGCAAGCACTCTACACTGAGCTACACCCCCAGTCATACTAGTGCTGTTTTTAACTTTTCCTATACTCAGAACTGTTTTATGACTAGCAAAATGACACCTACTTAGAAATACTCTTAGTATCCTACTTAAAAAAACTCCTTACCCAAGTTTCTTATAGGTAAGCTTTCATTTTAAAATAGGTATCTGCCAGGCATCTGGAATTGTCTTGGTGTAAGATGTAAAGCATGGAGGCAGCTTTGTTTTCCCCAAATGCTATTATATAGGTTGTCCAGCATCCTACATACCTCACAGATATGAAATATCTAAGGCTTATGTTTGTCTTTGAAAGCTAATACATGTACACAGTAGGAAGATCAATAACATAACAAATTGCTGGGCATTGGTGGCTCAGGCCTATAATCTTAGCTACTAGGAGGCTGAAATCTGAGGGTCATGATTTGAAGCTAGCTTAGGCGATCAAGTCTGTGAGACTATTAATTCTGGTTAACCAGCAAAAGCTGAGAAGTAGAGGTGTAGCTCAAGTGGTAGAGTGCCAGTCTTGAGTGAAAAAGCTAAGGGATCATACTTAGGCTTTGAATTCAAGCCCCAGTACTAGCAGTAAGAGCAAAAATTATAGTTTACATTTCATGTGTGTAAGTAGCTTGCGGCAAAATGAAGAAAGTAGAAAGAGAAGTACATTGATCTAAAGATGGCAACTTGGCCCAAAGGGAGGACTCTAAGGATAGAAGCAGGGACCACAGTGTAGAAATCCTGGATGGATGAAAAGAATTGAATCATTTCATACCAAGAAATATAAGGAGACAACCTCAGCTGAAGAGCAGCCTGTGATGAAATAAAACATTACTCGAAACCTATCAGATGCAAGCCACTGAAACTGGCCTGGAGGGGTCAAAAACAAAGTCACAAAATTGTCATTTATTCTACTCCCCTATTGTCCAACCATTTTGGCCACTTCATAGCTTCCCCTACTCACAACATAGTATTCTGAAGAGGGGAAGGGATTCATCTCTTTGGGCTGCAGTTGGTTCTTGAAAGTATCTTAGAGTTTCACTAGTCTTAGAACTGACAATCAGAGCTCAAACTTCAGTCTCCTTGTTTATTCCCCAGGCTTTGCAAGGGAAAAGGAACACATATGACATAAAGGAATCTACAAGATTAAATCTAGTACTATATTGACCTGAAGGTATTCAAGATTGTAAAGTGGTGTGTGTGTGTGTGTGTGTGTGTGTGTGGGTGGTATTCAAGATTGTAAAGTGGTGTGTGTGTGTGTACGTACAAATCCTGGGGCTTGAACTCAGGGCCTGAGCACTGTGGTGTGTGTGTGTGTATATGTACAAGTCCTGGGGCTTGAACTCAGGGCCTGAGCACTGTCCCTGATTTTGTTGCTCAAATTTAGCCACAGTTCCATGATGCTAGCCACAGCTTTTATGGTGCTTAAGTGATAAGAGTCTCTTTATCCTCAGATCTCAGCCTGAGTAGCTAGGATTATAGGCATGAACCACCAGTTTCCAGCTCCTTAATTATGAAATTAAATTATGTTCAGTAAAATTTTAAACGTTTAGCCAAACTAAGCCAACTACGATTTCATTACATCAAAATTATACCTGAGAAATATTTCCCCACATTATTAGCCAATATCTTCCTCTAACCAACCAATGCTTTTATCAGCTTTCCAAGCTTACCAACATCATTATTGTCTCATTTGGAAATAATCCTTTATAACATCAAACTTACTGGAAAAAAAAACAAGATCAGACCTTTATTTATTAATAAAGTAATTGTGGTTTTTGGGGAAATACGTAAAAATGTTCTGCACACATGTTAATGTAGGTTAGGCCACAAATAAACAAAAAAAGCAAAGTCAATATTAAGTCATGGTCCAGAATTATACAAATGAGAAATAAATACAAGGCTTATGGTATTTGGTAAGTAAAGACAACTAAAGTAAACTGTATTTCAAATTTGTTTATATAAAAGCATAGTAGTAAAGATCACTTTAAAATAGTGTCCATCTTTTAAACAAGCATAGATGCATCTGCAATCATGTACAAATATAATAAACTTAACAGCTTTCTTACTCTCAATACAAATTACAATCCCTTGTTTCTTTAAGCAACCTGACAAATAAACAGCGTGAAGTCATTAGAAAAATATGGACCTTTCTGAGTCTGTATATTTTAAAGTTAAATTGAAAAATACAGTTTAGGTAATATGAAACATATGATTTTCAGATTTAAATACCTGTATCTAATGTATTGTTAGATATGGTCTTCAGTTTGGCTGAAAATGCAAAAATAGGATTAATTTTTTAACAGATTAAAAATACTTATCCATTGATAGAAGTCCTAGTTTATAGAACAGAATGTAAGTGGAACATATTTGTAAGTTAATGTCTATTCAATTCCCAAATACACAGGTCCTAACACTAAGCCCTTAATATGGATTTGCTTTAAAGACAACTGAAGATCTTACATATCTGATCATCTTAAACACTCCTGTAAACATAGTCAAAATTTGCTAACAGAATAAAATTCAAGTAAACATTGCATATTTGATTTCTCCTAACTTTACAGTTTTGCTCATTGATGACATACACATTTGTCAGAGCCACTACACATGTAAAGAGTTTTTTTTTTAATCATCCTTATGAAAAGGTGAAACTAAATATTGTAAACATGTTCATTTTTAATTAATACAGTGCAGCTGCTCTTTGGTTTGGCATAATGATACTGATTAGAGGCCTCAGATACTGAATAGTCAAGTAAATCTTTAACCAGGTGAAACATCTCATCTAGTTTGTGTTTAATGGCAACGGCAAAATCTGAAATTTTACTTCATTTTCTTAAGCATCATCACAAATGTTCAAGTGCTTGAAGGATAAAAGTAAGTAGAAATTTTGGCAAGGCTTCATGTTGAGCTTGGATCTTCAAACAATTGAGCATTATTCAATACCAGTTGAAATACCAAAGAGGCAGCCTTTCCCTGATTCCCATACCACTTGAAGACCCTTAATGAATGGCCATTAATATGTATAAATAACTTCTGCCTGGGCTGGGGATATAACTCAGTACTGGAGTCAATGCCTAATACTGGGATGGGGGAAAGGCTAAATATGGCAAAAATGTTGGTTCTAGGTTAAAGTAATTAAAGCTTTTAAAAAATTCAGAAGAGGGGGCTGGGAAGGTGGCTCAGTGGTAGAGCACTTGCCTTGCATGCATGAGGCCCTGGGTTTGATTCCTCAGCACCACATAAGCAAAAAGAAAAAAGCTGGAAGTGGCGCTGTGGCTCAAGTGGTAGAGCACTAGCCTTGAGCTGAAGAGCTGAGGGACAGCGCCCAGGCCTAGAGTTCAGGCCCCATGACCTAGCCTCCCCCCCAAAAAAAAAAATTCCGAAGAGGTCTTTACTATGCTATTTAAGGTGAGGATAACTAGCTAATGAAAAGTTGAGAAAGATTATACTTCCACAAAAATTCCTGAATATAGTTTTAAGGGGAAATTTCTTCCTTACTTATCAGCCAGGTGCATGCAAATCCTTTGATCTACATGTACAAATACAAAAGGACCAGAATGTTTCTGAAAGTAATTAAGTAGGGCTGGGAAGGTGGCTCAGTGGTAGAACGCTTGCCTTGCATGCCTGAGGCCCCGAGTTCGATTCCTCAGCACCACATAAGCAAAAAGAAAAAAGCTGGAAGTGGCACTGTGGCTCAAGTGGTAGAGCGCTAGCCTTGAGCTGAAGAGCTGAGGGACAGTGCCCAGGCCCAGAGTTCAGGCCCCACAACTGGACCCCCCCCCCAAAAAAAAAAGTAATCAAGTAGATTTAAGCATTTACCAATCCCTTATAATAATGGAAACCACAAAACTGAAGTTGTTTTTGGTAATCTCTCTTAATTCTCAGTCTAGTTTTGCAGAATCAAGATTGTTAAAATTAAGTGTTGAAACAAAGGTAGAAGAATCTATATTATATTACTCCGAACTAAGTCTTCAAAGCTAATGCAGTCTTTTGGTCCAAAGAGGGGAGAAGTTACCTAATAAGTTTTTTTTTTTTGGCCAGTCCTGGGCACTGCCCCTGAGCTTCTTTTGCTCAAGGCTAACACTCTTAACACTTGAGCCATAGTGCCACTTCTGGCCTTTTCTGTTTATGTGCTACTGAGAAATCCAAACACGGGCTTCGTGCATGCTAGGCAAGCTCTCTACCACTAAGCCACATTCCCAGTTCCACCCAGTAAGATTGAATATTAGCATTGTGGAAATCCAACAAATCCTTTCAGTTGTAAACTGAGGGGACACCAACACAATGTCACCAGGACAAGTGCCATCAGTGAGGCAGACCTTGCTTTCTTCCCAAAGCATTTTGCTTCCTGTATGGCAATAGCCTGGACCACTAAAGCAAAGTCTACAGCTGCTGGAGGAGCAGTCTCAAGTCATTGTGAGCATGCTTACTGTGACCCTCAAAAATATGAGGTTATAATAGAACTGAAAGGCTAAATCAAAGAGGACAGGTTACTTCACAATGGAGAAGGGGCCTTAAGTGCCAATTGTAAAGGCTGCCTAGCTACAACCCAATGTAACAGAGAACCAACAAGTTCAATGCTCTGTTTGCAATGGGCAAGGCCAGGAGGTCCCTGCACCCACTAATGATCTGAATCTAACTCTGGATTTCAAAGAAGCAACATGGCTTGCAATGGAAGAACTCAACATAAATTTCCCATGCACTGTTTGATTTGGAGGGCAATGGATTCATTTGCCCACTGGATGAGCTTTTATAAACCAGTTAAAACAGACTGCTACCTTCTCTGAAATAACTCCATACAGCACCATGAAAAGCTTTATAGAAGGGTTTAATCATGCAGCCATGCTTCCAGAAGAAGGCTGAGAAATCACACAACTAAACTATTGAAAACTGTCTCCTACAGGATGAAATCTCCTCTTTCTCCAAGTATTTCAGCTTAAAGGTAAGGAATACCTCACTCAGGCAAAACTCTCAAATGTGTAAAGTTGCTAGTGCTCTGAAGAGAAAGATGAACAACTCACAAGGATTATCAGTCATCAAAAGATGCTCTATCTCAGCAGATCACTAAAGAGATAATGCTATCTCAAAGCCACCCTTAAACAGGCACTCATGAGTACAGAAGATGAAGGACTTTGCTGTAGTGTTACAAGAGAAAACAGATGCACTTAGCAACAAGGGCACAGCTGACCAAACAACTCTCTTCACTGCTGCAGGCCAAGAGTCCAGAGGCAGAATGCAAACAATCATAAAAAAAAAACAAACCAAAACAAAGCAAACTGGAGCAGTCACTATCTAGTTTATGGAGGATTAGGAAACCTTAGCATCCCAATCAATGGGTAGAAGGTATTCCCTAAATACAAAATTGGGCACTGCAGCATATTAGAAGCCATGTGGTCCAGCACCTCGAAGGCACCTTCTTTCCCCTGTGATCCTTTTCAGACCAACCTGTCCTATCTATAGGTGCTGGTAAGATCTCTGCCAGCCTATGGAAAGCAATTATTTTGGGCTTCGGTGTTTGATTAAGCAGTATAAACGAGTAATATTTTTACATTATACTTTACAGCACACTGTACTATGCTCTAGAATATACCCCCACTGGTGCTACTGAGCCTAGATTTTAAATGAAGTACTACTTAAGGGACAGGGCTTGCTCTTAGGAATTTTGGATTGAGACTGGGAATTTTAAGTGACTACTCAGGGTTTTAAATTTCTTCCTGAGGATTCTATTATTCACAAGTTGATTAGCCCCCCTAGTTTCAATGATCAATATTTAACCTGTTACAAGAATACTGTAAAAAGTATCACAGTAACTTTGTTATCATCAAAAAAGAAATCTGAAGTTAACTCAATAACATGTTTCATTCTAAATACTTTTAAGATTTAAAATATTTTTAAGCACTTTATAGCATCCTGCCTATCTTTCTGTTTCTCTTCTAGTTACTTCTAATCTTTCTATAGTATAGATACCTGTTTCCCTGCCCATATAAATACCCCTGAAAAGTCAATAAACAGTTATCAAGCAGCTGTAAGGACCTAAAATATTTCATGTACTGCCAAGTATTTTTCTTGGGCAAGCACTATACTATAGTACACAGTTGTATTAATGCTTCTCACTAAGCGGTCAATGAGTTATACCAGTGTGTTCTATATTCTAAATGATAACACATTTAGACATCTGAATCCTTCTGAGTGTTATTTTTATAGCCAACAATAAAAATCTGTATTAAAAATGTTGAAAAGTATAAAACAGTAATTATAAATTAGCAAACACCCAATTTAAAAAAGCAGTTATTTTCTTTTCCCTTACACAGTACAAGCAAGAGTAATTAGGATATTATTTGCTTTCAGCTGCCAACTGGCCTAGATGTACTTAAGTTTTTAGCTTGTGTTTTTTGAAGGACAATTTATATGGCTACTAAGAACTCTAGTATTCTAAGTCAGGTATCAAGAAAATACATATGCCATGTTGATATGTGACAATAGCTCATATCATAGCATCTCATGACAGGTACATGTTATTTCCAAAGTAAAAGTAAGTCACTTTTGAGCTGCGAGTCAATGTTGCACAAGTGAACTCTTGAATTAAGGCATCTTTCTGCTCCGTAGTGCTTCTGTGAATCCATCAAACTGCATAAAGGCTTCCTTTTATTAAAAAATATATATCTTCTGTTATACTTGAATTATTCCGTTCTGTTGGTCACTTTCTTGCAAATAAAATAGAAAGTATTAGTCCACAATGTTTTTATATACCTACAAAAACAGAAACAATTGAATTAGTTAAAATTTTATTTTCTTAAATTTCTCAAAGTATAAAATGGTTTAACAGGCTAAGATATAAAGGTGCTAATAATAGTACAAAATAGGAAACAAATCTTTAAATTCTAATAGTATTCTACCAGTTTTTTGGTTTTTTTTTTTGCGGTTCTGGGGCTTGAACTCAGGGCCTGGTGATGTCCCTGAGCTTCTTTTGCTTAAAGCTCTACCACTTGAGCCACAGTGCCACTTCTGACTTTTTCTGTTTATGTGATACTGAGGAATAGCACCCAGTGCTTCCTGCATACTAGGCAAGCACTCTACCACTAAGCTGAATTCTCAGCCCATTCTAACAGTTTTATAAGCAATAAATACAAGGATATGACTTTCTTCCCTTGAAGCAATCCAGAAAGATAAAGAGGGGAAGGTGTCTTTCCGTACTCCCTGCCTGTTAGAGCTTGGCCATTCCTTGAGAATGCACATCCACTTATAATACTAATGGAGAAGTTCTTGCAGCAACTGTGAGAGAAACTTGAACTGGAGACTCTTAACCAGATACAGAAGCCAAATTTGGCTTACTTAAGAAACAATGTGGCAGGTCTGAGCACCTGTCCCTGGCTGCAGCCTTAGGTAGTGTGGGTAGGCCCAATGGTTGTCACACATGCAAGTCCTGCAGCTCCTCTTCAGACTGCAATCTGTCTGACTAGTATGAGACTTCCATTACCTAGTCTGTAGTCTTGGGCTCTGGCTCTTAGCCTGGACAGGAACTCTGGAAGACCTGGCAGTGAACTGATAACAAGGAGGCACGTGCTTCCTTGAGATTCCAGATCCCCTTGGAAAAGTATGCACCTTGCACCTGCCTTGAAGGAATGGATCTGTGGCAGTAACTTGTGCTGTAATGCCACAAAACTAAATATTATCAGTGAATCACTTAAATCTTGTTTTGGGCTTTTAACTTTAATCATTCTTCTTTGGATCTAATTTCTTCAATAATTTTGCCTTAATTTTTTTGCCTTAAACTAATTAATAAGATAAAAAGGTTAGTTGTCTACATCAGTCCTTAACTATCTCTTTTAGTTTCTTCATCTATCTACCAATCAGCACTTACTGACAATTACCAGAAATAGTATGAAAAAACAGATTTTGCCAGATGTGTTACCTTCCAGTCTCTCCTATACTACTTATGATATCCTACAATGTGATATAACTGAAAAGTTAAAAAATTTTAACATTTAAATTAGAAATATCCAATAAACTACATTTGCTCAAGGAAGTTAACTTCATGCTGTCTTACCTTGAAATTATCAAATGGTTAGTTATGAACAAGTGGTACTCAATTTTCTATTGCCACTGTAACATGGTTATTTGTCCCTGCAAGCACATAATTATATATGACATGACAAAAAACATATTAAGTTTCTGGATAAATGGTAAAATTAATTACATCAAACAACTATTATGTAAAGCATTAAATAGGCTCTGGGCACCAACCATTTTCCCTTGTATAGGACACAGGAGTGAGTAGAGAGTGGTTAAGAGTCAAATGTTTGGTTTCATGCTTATCCTTGTGAAAATATCCACTGGTCTTAAAACACAGGATTGTTGTGAAATGGCAATAATAAAGAATTCCAAAAATGAACTTTCCCTGGATGAGCTGCTTTTCAAAAAATCCAGCCAAAATCCTTGCCTACTTGGTATAAGATCTGTGAAGTATCAAGAAAATTTGCTTGGGCTGGGAAGGTGGCTCAGTGGTAGAGCGCTTGTCTTGCATGCATGAGGCCCTGGGTTCGATTCCTCAGCACCACATAAGCAAAAAGAAAAAAAAGCCGGAAGTGGCGCTGTGGTTCAGGTGGTAGAGCACTAGCCTTGAACTGAAGAGCTGAGGGACAGTGCCCAGGTACAGAGTTCAGGCCCCACGACCAGACACTCCCCTCCCTCCCCCCCCCCAAAAAAAGAAATCTACACAATGCAGTCTTTGTTTTTTTTTTTTTTTGGCCAGTCCTGGGGCTTGAACTCAGAGCCTAGGCACCGTCCCTGAGCTTCTTTTGCTCAAGGCTAGCACTCTACCACTTGAGCCACAGTGCCACTTCTGGCTTTTTCTGTTTATATGGTATTGAGGAATTGAACCCAGAGCTTCATGCATCATGGCAAGCACTCTACCACTAAGCCACATTCCCAGCCCCAGTACTTGTATTTTGATCATATAATACAGGTGAATCAGGAAAAAAAGGATGGCTGGTTAATGAAAGTTGAACAAATTTAGAGTTCTCATAGCACTGAGAGGCACCTAAATTTCAACAGTCAGAAAGGAGAGATTTGGGGGCTGGGAAGGTGGCTCAGTGGTAGAGCGCATGTCCTGCATGCCAGAGGCCCTGGGTTCGATTCCTCAGCACCATATAAGCAAAAAGAAAAAAGCTGGAAGTGGCACTGTGGCTCAAGTGCTAGAGTGCTAGCCTTGAGCTGAAGAGCTGAGGGACAGCGCCCAGGCCCAGAGTTCAGGACCCACGACCGGACCCCCCCCCAAAAAAAAGAAAGAAAATTTGCTTTTACCTAGGTCATAAATTGTTTATGTGATTGCTACATTTTTAAAAAGTTGTTTACCCTGGAAATTTGAAATTTCAAAAATGCCACTGTCCTTCCAATTTACGAGGACATGGTCCAGTTGAACTTTTGAGTTATTTCAAGATTATTTTTTCATACCACCATTTGTAATGTTTTGTAAGAATGCTTTCAGATTACAAGTTTTTTGTTTATTTTTATATTGTTTTTGGTCAGTGCTGGGCTTGAACTCAGGGCCTGGGCATTGTCCCTGAGCTTCTTTTTTGCTCAAGGCTAGCACTCTACCACTTGAGCCACAGCGCCACTTCCAGCTTTTTCTGTTAAGATGCCCTGAGGAATCAAACCCAGTGCTTCATGCATGCTAGGCAAGCACTCTAACAGTTAGACACATTCCCAGCCATAGGTAACAGTTTTAAGGTGTGTACATAAAAAAAAAGTTTCCAGTGGTCTTACACAAGAAGTCTAAAAAGCATCCTAATGAAGACTCTACAGATACTAACTCAAAAGAATGTTTAAAATACTCCTAAAGCCAAAAGAACCACTACCTCTGTCTGCCTCTGCCTATTTCCCACTGAAGCTACCATTATACACAAACATCCCAGATACACGATGTTTTACCAAAAATTTCATTTTGTTTTTCCACATTTATTAAGTCTGGTGATTTTCATTTGAGCTAACGAAGCAGTATTTTCAGTTGTTACCTGCTCTGGCGACACTTTCTTCAGCTCCATTTTCTGGCCACTGAGATTCACTGTCCAACAAACGGTTCTTTGACTCACTGAGTGGTTTGGTAGGAAAAGGTTGATTTGAGCCAATACTGAAAAGAGAGAACAAATAATTTACTAAGCAGTTTACTGTTCACTGAAGGGCATTTAAAAATTAATAAGCAGCAAATTAGTAATCTTTCTCCTAAATATGTGAGGGCAAGTCATGAGACCACAGTGCTCTGAATGTTTATCTGTAAAGGAAAATATGCCCACACCCCCCCTGGCTTTCTATACCCAGGCTTGTGTACTGTAACACTGCCAATGAAACCAATTAGATTAAGAAAAAAGCTTCAGAGGCCAGTCTGAAATGTTTGAACATGTTAATCGGGAGCCATAAGGTAGTATAAGGACAGGTGAAGAGCTATGTCTGCGGCCAGTACAAAAAAATTACCTGTCATTTCCCAAGTTTTCTGCTTTCTACCTCTGCAGTTTAGATCTAAGGGGAAAAAATGATTTAGTGATTTAGCGTAGACTTATTTTTCTAACTAAGAGAACTAGGGAAGGGAGGGAATGGAGGTGGGAAAAAGGGAGGGGAATTAGAATTTGCTGGTACCTATAAGGGGCTAAACACTGGCTAGGTGCTTGGTGTCCACCCTTGGAGGCAGGTGGAAACTGAGACTCAGACAGTTTCAATGACTTGTTCAGAACCACAATAAATGTTTGAACTCAAAGGTCTAAGACCTACATCCTAACACTTATATGTTGATTTGGAATTGGTAGCTGTAATGTGCTTCAACTGTTTCACTCACAGAAAAAATAATTAGCTTCTTTAGAATTTTACCTAAAATATACTCTTTCATTGAGTTTATAGAGCTATTTTCTCACCATGAAATTATGGAAAATGATTAAGAAAAAAATAAAATTTGAATACTCATTACTGCAGTTGAAATATATTGATAAAAATTAAAATGTACTAGTCAAAACCCCCAACAACAACAAACCAGTGAGTTTGTTCAAATTCTCTGAAAAAAACAAAACAAAACAGAAAGAACTTTGGTAGAAGCCAATAATCAAAACTTGAAAAATCTTACATCCTAGGGGGCTGTAGCATATTTACTTCCTTCCTGGGGTGCCATCATTCCCAGCTGCATGTGGCTAGTGTAACATAACATTTAACTTGCTTTAGACACAGTACTCTCTTTCTGATTTCCCAAAGTGTTCTGGTGCTCACTTTGGGAAGCACGTACACTAAAATTCAAATGGCACAGAGAAGATTAGCACAGCCTCTGTCCAGTAATGAGACACAAGTATCCTATGTTTTTAATATGGATGGAATGTGTTTGGGTGCTAAAGAGAAATATGGTTATCCTAAGCACATACCACATATCAGCCCTCAATTCAAAAAAGCTTAAACAGAACTTCTCTTTCCCTACATAGGCTGGCTTACTGAAAGTATAGACATCCGTAAGACATGCATGTGTAACACATACATACAGTTTGTTTTACCATAAATAATGAAAAACTTAAGGACAAGAAACACACCTTTGGTTTGGAACAGAAGCTTGTTCTGGATCCATCCCTACAAGGCGAGTTGGAAAACTGCAACCATCACCCAAACTGCATAATGAAAGAATAGTAATTATTTGAATCACATAAATTAATTAAAGTAGTCAAACTGAATAATTCCTAAGTTTCTAGTTTAGACTGTTTATATCTCCAATGATGATGTTAGTCCTTTATGTATATATTTAAAACAATGTCTTTCTTGCTTATGAAGATCATGATGCCTAGTTAGTACCTTAAATGTTGCTATTCAATCATTTGGATAATTGACCTTTTCTCTTTTCTTTTCTTTCGTGCCTGGGATATTTTTTGCTCAAAGTTACTGTTCTACCACTTGAGCCACAGTTCCACTTCTAGCTTTTTAGTGGTTAGTCAGAGATAAGAGTTTCTTATCTGTCTAGACTGGCTTCCAACTGCAATCCTCGGATTTCAGGCTTCCTGAGTAGCTAGGATTATAGGCGTGAGGCCACCAGCACCTGGCTTGATAACTGATCTATTGTTTCACAACCATTTAAGATATCTTTTAGGCTAAAATTGAAATATAAGATACAAGCTCTACCTATTTATCCATTCTACAACATTAACTACACAAAATATCTAATGGTTCAGTTCTTGCCTGGGACACACAAGGCCCTAGGTTGGTTTGGTTCTCCAACACTGTGACACAAACAGCTACATAATGCCTATGATGTTCTTAGAAATATTTTGAGAACAAAGTATGTAGCAATGAATAAAAGAGAACCTCTGTCCTAAAGAAACTTCTAATCTTTAAAAAAGACAAAGCGTATCTTTCTTTCACTTCTAACCAAGACTAAATAACTATAAATTTGACATGTCATCATAGTCAAAAAGAGCCCAGTATACAAAAATGATGGACTTCAAAATAGGAAGCAGAGGACAATGGTCTCAGAGAGAAAAAAATGAAATACAACAAGTGCTCCCAGCCTTTTGGCAGGACCGCAGCAACAAGAGGGCAATTCAAGCCAAGACAAGCAGTTTGTATGAAGTAAGGTTTCAGACACGGAGCTTTGAGGTTTGACCGTACTATATAAAGTGAGAAAAGGAAAATATGCAGACTCAAGCCTGTAATCCTAGCTACTTGGGAGATGGAGATCAAGAGATCATGGTTGGAGTTCAGCCTGGGGAGGGGGGTGTGAGGGGAAGACTGTGAGACTCCATATCTCAACCAATGGTTGGGGTAGAGTGGTGCATGCCTTTTATCCCAGCTACAGAAGCAGCACAATGGCGGGGTACTCTGGTGTGCTCCCGTCATCCCAGCGAAGTGGGCTAGCACAAAAATGAAGATTGACGTCGAGGATGCCTTGGACATAAAGCAAAGACCCTATCTCAAAAATAACCAATGTAAAAAGTGTCTGGTAAAGTAGCTTAAGTGCTAGAGTAACTGTCTAACAAGTGTAACTCCTGAGTTCAATCTCCAGTATGGGGTGGGGGGTGAGGAGTGGAGAAAGGGAAGGGAGGAGGGAGAAAAGGCTGAAAGGAGGGAGAAAGGAAAGATTAGTAAGTATTGGGAAAGTGTTCAATGGTAGAACAAACTCAACATGAGCTAGGGAGAGGAGAGGAGAGAAGGGAGAGGGAAGGGAGGTAGGAAGAGAAAGGCAGGCAGAGAAAAGGCTATAGAAGTCTTAGAAGGAAGGGAGGGAGGGAAGAGAAGAAAGTGGGAGGGAAGAAAAAGAAGGAGAAAATGATTATAGAAATCTACACAGTGCAGGGGCTGGGAAGGTGGCTCAGTGGTAGAGCGCTTGCCTTACATGCATGAGGCCCTGGGTTCGCTTCCTCAGCACCACATAAACAGAAAAAAAAAAAAGCCGGAAGTGGCGCTGTGGTTCAGGTGGTAGAGCACTAGCCTTGAACTGAAGAGCTG